CAAAATTATATATTGACAATATATTTATGCTTTGCGGTTAAAATGGTCTTGCACATTAAATAGATTGGCCAAAGTACCCCTTAAAGTTGTGAGTGATGGAGGCATTATTAGAGACCATACAGGGCACTGCATCAAGACATTTTCATCATCAAATGGGCCATATATGATTTTGGAGGTTGAGCTTAGAGCTATATTGTCTAGAGGACTTGGTATTTCAGTTATTTGGGTTGAGACAAATTCGAGTGCAGCTATTTATTGTATCACCAAGGGTGGAGGACTATGGATGATTCAGAGTATCCTAGCTAGTCAGAGACCTCATCTCCTCCAACGGAGACGTGATTTTTCACATATATAAAGAGGAAAACTAGGTCGCAGACTCGGTTGCTACAAAGGTTCGGTTCAACACCTCCATTAGAAATATGGATCACTTGACCTACAGAGAAATTAGGGCACTAATGTAGATTGGCAGACATGGATTGCCTATCTTTAGATGTCTATAAACTAGATTTTATTGATTTCCTTTTATTTTTTGACATTTGTTGCTATGTTGCACTAAAAAAAAATAGCTTTATGCCCCCTCCTTTCATGTTTACTGGTGTGTATATACATATATAGTTGGAGAACCTTAACCTCATTGTCCTTTCTTAGTGGAGCGTAAACATTTATTGGGGATGTGTGGATGTCCTTGTTTAAGAATAAAAAAATCATAAACGTTTTCCTTTTCTCAAGGATTCTTAAACATGACCTAGCTTTAGTTCTTAACAACAAAAGTACATAATTAAAATGTTGCGAAACACGTTATATAATTATCATATAATATGTTAGATAGGTTTTCGCATATCGAATAAATTTATTTATATTCATAACATTTTGAAATAATATTTTCTTGATAAATTATTTATACTAATTGAGCTTGCATTTGTTCATGGATCGGTTAGATATTGTAAAATGAATGTTTAAGTTGTTAAGAATGTAAAGATTTGATTATAATTCGATCTATGTTTTATTGCTTATGATCCGTAAATAAAAATGAATACTTTAGTTTGATAAATTTATCTTAATTTTATTGAAGTTCATCTATGACTATGGTAATAAGACCGAGTATACATTTTGAAATTTATTGAATTGGATCACGAAAAATTTAATTTATGAAATTGACCACATAGATAATTTTACTTGATTATTGTACATAGGACTTTAATTCTAAGTGGGTAATAAACATTAGTTACTAACTTGAAATTTTTCGAGATATCAATAAATGAGATCAAATCATTAATCAATATCTCGATTACTTGGGAATTAAAGTGAAATAACAAGGAACATATATTGATAGTATGTTATTCATAATCTATCTAATAGGTACGGCCTCAAAGCATTTTTGAATGAGTAGTTAAACCTAACGTGGGCAATTCAATATTGATTTTTAAATTAATATTGTAATTTAGTCTCTGTTTGACAATCATTATTTCAAAACTTTTTATTTTACATACTTATTTTCAACACACTCACATAATAAAATATTTTGTACGTAAATCCTAAACCTTTTTTTTTTTTTTTTTAATTTTTTAACCACATTTTTTTTCAAAAATGTACTATTCAAAACAAAATTTTTGCCAAATAATGGCTATCAAACAAATGCTTAATCACATGAGATTGTCATAGAAAATGACATTTAACAATTTAAGCATATTTGGAAAATAACATTTTGATCATTTTACCTTATTTAGACATGAGATAATAAGAAAGAATAGAAATTAGATGATATAATTATTGTATATATAGCATCAATAAGTTCAATCAAACTAAGAGTACAATCTCATTCTATTAGTAGAATAGAACTAGATTAATAATTATCTAGACCGATTTAGAGTTGATCGATCAAGATTAATTTAGTGAAGTTTAGTTTAATTAAGTCTGATTAGGTCCCTTCAATGACTATAGAATAAAATCGAAATAAATTATAAGAATTATAACTTATTATTGATTGTAGTGGAATTAATTAATTAATTAATTAAATTGAGACGTGCACGTGTGCTACTCATGTTCCATTCATACATGGAAAGAGTTAGATTTGGATGAGAACTAAAAAGAAGAGTAAATTGGGTTCTGGAATGTTTCCATATCCAAACTAAGATTCCTTTAAGGATATGAACATTTTCCCAAGTTATGTTCATATTATAAAGGTTGAACTCTAACCTTGAGGGCTCTAATCGTCCCGTCTCTGAAATATCGTGAGGGATGTAAATCGTAGAATATGTCACAGCAAGCCAAGGGACAAGAATTTGCCCGTACACTGATATTCACAAAGAATCCAATTCCATATCTCAGGAATCGAACCCTCACACTACGGTTGTTAGCAAGGCTGAGATTACCCTATTCCTATCCTTTACACCACTGGATTATACTCCGGGAGGGCATGTTCATATTATAAATATATATTTTCGTTGATGTTCAATTAATATAACTTTTTGTTGTGTGCGCTCACATAAAATCTCCACAATTTTTTTTTCTTGGATTCTTGAAGAACATTGAGAATGTCACAGGATTTGAAGGTAAAATCAAGAAGATCAACACAAAAGGAATTTTATAAAAGGGTAATTAGCACAAAACATCCCTACCTTTAGATGTTTTTGTGGAAAACGTCCCTACCTTTCATTTTTTGGTTGATTACACCCTTACCTTTACATTTTTTTGCGCAGAACATCCTTCTGTCAACTCTCCGTTAAAATGCTCCGTTAAATCAAAAAGGTAATTAGCATAAAAGGTCCCCACCTTTCAAAGTTATTGTGCAAAACGTCCCTACCTTTTATTTTTTAGCATAATTAGCAGAAAAGGTCCTTACCTTTCAATATTATTGTGCAAAACATCCCTACCTTTCATCTTTAGCATTTTTACCCCTACATTTCACATTTCATTGCGCAAAAGGTCATTTTCATCCATTTTTTCAATAAAATGACGATTTTACCCTTCTATTGAAATAAAACAAAAAGAAAAGAAAAAAATAATTAATTAATTGCAATCATAGTTCTAAATCTTTCAAAACATTACAGATAAATCCTAAATTCTCCACTACCGCCACTTTCACAACCCCACCAAGCCACCACCTATAGATTCATATAGCACCACTTTTCGACCACAACACATAGGACTCTACCACCACCAGCGTCGCCTCACTCTCTCCAATAACCTCCTCCATAGTATTGGTCACCAATCTGTCCGAAACAACCACATTTACGGTGATGGAGTCCAGTGGGCATGGTGGTCGAAAGGTGGTATTATGTGGATTTATAGTTGGCAGCTTGATAGGTTGTGAAAATGGTGGTGGTTGAGAATTTATGATTTTTTGTAATTTTTTAAAAATTTAAGGATTATGGTTGCAGTTGGTAATTCATCTTTTCTTTTTGTTTTATTTGAATAGGAGGGTAAAATCGTCATTTTATTGAAAAAATGGATGAAAATGACCTTTTTGCAATGAAAGGTGAAAGGTAGGGACGTTTTGCACAATAATATTGAAAGGTAGGGATCTTTTCTGCTAATTATGCTAAAAAATAAAAGGTAGGGACATTTTTCACAATAATTTTGAAAGGTAGGGACCTTTTCTGCTAATTACCTTTTTGATTTAACGGAGCATTTTAACGGAAAGTTGACAGAAGGACGTTTTGCGCAAAAAAATGTAAAGGTAAGGGTGTAATCCACCAAAAAATGAAAGGTAGGGACGTTATCCACAAAAACATCGAAAGGTAGGGATGTTTTGTGCTAATTACCCTTTATAAAACATTCCAACAAGGTGAAAATTTGCAATGATTTTTGAGAGTTGATTCTCGATTGTTTTATTGTCCTTTATACTGTTTTGAAGACATCTTTCCTTGTCGAAAAAGGATGAATGCAGCATTGTAAGACTGTTCCAAAAATGGCTGCTCCAACAATAGGAGCTTGAAACTTGCAAAAATTTCCCACGTTTTAGTTTCGAGGCCTTAACTTTGCACTCATTTTTCACGCTTGATTCTTGATCATGTATATCTGTATGAATTAACCTATGTGTACATTGTTGTTTACGTTCTCTTTAGCATTTCCTCTATTGGTCAAAATCTGGACAATAATGTTATAGGGTGTTGTAGAAATAAATGGTTTATATATATATATTGTATCCATGTTTGGTAACATTTTGAATGTCTCACTATGGTCTACACAATGCAATTTGAGGCGAAAACTATGGACAACCACAGAGATCGTACGGCTGCCTCAAACGTGGCTGCTCGATTTGATTGAAATCGGCTTCCTACTTTACGTTCAAAAAATTTCGGTCCATAACCAACTTTTTACATACGTTTTGGGTCCTAAAATGAATTTATTACTTCTTAATTGAATTCATTTTAGTCCCTAAATGATTTATACTATTCTAATTTACCCTTTTATTTTCGATTTAAAATAGATTAGAAATAACGAGACTTTTCATCTCACTTGACTAACTTTGAAAACCTTATTTTAATAGTTACAAATTTTCAGCACGTTACATGGATCTTTGGAGATATTAAGAAAGAGTAGGTGACTTGATCTATCAGATCGCTTTACCACTAGCATTGCCAAGGGGTGCACAATGTATTTTATGTTCGTATGTTGAGAAATTATATTTCAGACACTTCTCATATTCTTAGTCACGAGTCAATTTGATCTCCATGAATATTTAACTTGTGAAGTGTTACCACTAAAATCTTAGAGAGAATAGACAAGGAACTCAAAAGAAAAAGAATAGTTCTAGCAAAGATACTTGGAGGAGTCATGTTGTGGAAGAGGCAATTTGGGAGTGAGAAGATGAGATTCGTGTCAAGAAACCATATTTATTTGGTAAATTTTAATTTTCAACAACGAAATTTGTTCAGAAAAATTACTCGAACAACTTGTCAAGTTTGGGGTCATCAAATTTTTTACCAGGGTAAAACATATTAAAAAGTTGGGGTGAAATTATTGAAATAAAAAATCAAGGCTCGAAAAACTGGGAATTGTAGTTGACAGCAATCTATTATGCAATATGCATACAAAACTACTAGATTGATAAGCTCTAAATAAACATAGAAGGCATGAGATTTTGTGCAAATAATTTGTAGAATTTAACATTTGGGTATTGCTACTCGTACATCCAGCCCCCCTCTTGTGCGATTTTTTTTTATTTGACGCAAGCGCCCTCTCTTTTTTGAGAGGGATGTACACCGAGCTGCCAGCAAAATCCTTAGCATTTTAAGTTCAAGCATGGTCAGACTTTTGATCAGTCTCATCAGGAGACTTTAAGTACCACTTTTTGAGGCGTGTTGAAGCTTTAGCTACCTGTAATAAAAACATTTAGCAATAAATTATTCAACTGGTTTATTCTCTTTTATATTTAAAAATTTGTCCAAATTTACCTCGTGATCCCAATTGGTTCTCCATATCATGAAGCTCAATGCAAGTGTCTCTGCGACCACTCCACACAACATCCCAATCCATATGCCCTGTGAATTCATTATTAATTTCAAAGAGGACAACATATATTTATTGACTCATGAAGAAAAATATGCATAAGATTTAACCAGGGCCGGTCCTGTGATTGTCAGGGCCCAAGGCGAAGTCCAAAAATTAGGCCCCCAAAATGAACGTAAATACAAAATTCAACGATATATTATGCAATATATTGTTAACTTAAAACTTAAGATTAAAACAACAAACAAATATCTAAATCATCTCACAATTAATGAAAAAACTATTTTCCTTCTTTCAAACCAAAAAAAAAAAAAAACTACTTTGGGCCAAAATAGGCCCTTTGTGGTTTTGGACCAGAGGCACAGACCTCATTTGCCTGTGTCCAGGACCGGCTCTGGATTTAACATGACCGTATGGACAGTATTTGAGGACTATGATGGACAATATTTCATTCGCTAACCCTCAAATATTGCACGGATTAAAGAAGAGAGACGCATGACAAAATTCGTCTGTTTATTATTCACAATACTACTTGATTCTTGTAACGAATATGGTGTAAGATTTGCAATTGAATATTTAATCATGGTTTCAAGAGCATTCATACTCTAATGTAAGAGATTCATGTCACCAAACTACACCCCTATTTGGTTTAGTTAACAATTAAATTTTTAGTAGATTTTAATAAAAGTTGATGAAACCCATATTTGGTTTAAGTCAAAGTTAACAAGTAATTTCATAGAATCTATAACATTTCATTAACTTTTATCAAAATCTACTAAAAAAATCTGATTTTAATCCCTACCAAACGGGGACAGGATGTACAATTTAAAAGTCGATAAAAATTGTGAATCCTATGAAATATGTGGTAAAAAATAAGTTTAAAGAAAAATAAAATTTTGAAAATGTAAGTCAAACAGGGGCTACATGTTATTTTACCAACCAAAGAGCATTCAGGTGCAAGAAGAACCTTATCATCAGTTTCCTTTTTACCAAAATGAAAAGGCAAAATATTACCTTAACTTGAAGATGAGTCACATATCCAAGTAAAGCTCCAACTGGTATCCCAATTATATAGAAGCAAACAATATTAATAATTGCAACTGTTGTCTGTAAACCTGCTCCAATTGCCACCCTTGATAGCAAACAAGTTATAGAGTAAGGAAAGAAAACGTTGTAACACTACGATTAGACTCCATATAGTTCAACAATTTGGTGGGATAGACAAGAAAATAAAACAAAAATAATCCGAAGAATAAATGACTAACCTGAGAATATTGGATAGATGCTATTCAGCAACACCGAGAAAGCAAGTAGCATAGAAAGATCAGCAACACTATGTGCAACTTCTTCATCATTCGTGAATAAATATCCGATTTTATTGCCAAATACTAAGCAAAGAATCCAAAAGAATAGCCCTATCGATACAGAAGTACTGGTTAGGACTTTAATCGAAAACTTAACAGCCTTCGCGTCTCCTCTCCCAAGCTCGTTTGCAACTCGAACGCTAAAATCCGGCCAAACAATGAGAAATAGTTTTTAAAAACATAAAAGAAATGTAATGAGAAAGAGGAGTTTTGCCTTTATACCATGCAGCACCCATCATGCCAACACTAATCATAGTTTCCCATGCCACTATATTAAGGCTGCAAAAAAAATTAGATTTACTTAGTAGCTATCTTCATAATGTAGCAGAAAATGAGACAGGATTATAATGAAACCTTACCAAATAGAAAAGGCAGATATGGCTACCTTTGCATTTTTCATGTATCCTGCCAGTAAAACCAGAATGGCATAATACCACAACTCCAAGCTGTAAAACAATCAAGAATGCAAATAGTGAAGATTCCTTAGTAGATGCAAATTCTTAACGATTATATAAGCTGTTGCTTAAACATCTTGGGCACTCAATAATGGCCAGAACTGGGCATGGACAATATTTTTTTCTAGTCGACATACCAAACATGTCAATTCTGTAAAGTCAAGAAAATGTCTACATGGATATGCTGCTAATGGATAAAATCATACATAAAAGTGGTAAGTTTAATCGAGATGCGCCATAGAAGAAGTGTTTAAACAAAGTCCAAATAAACAGAATAGAACTTAATACCGATCCTAAGAGAATAAGCGCATACTTTGGTACTGAAATGGGATGTAAAACCTGATCAGGGAATCTATATGTATATATAATATCCTTGTTTTCTATTAAAATTTGGATACTAAACTAGCATTACAATCTGTCTAGCTACTGTCCTAATCAGTACAGAATAATTTGCTGAAATTATAATGTCATAGAAATGAGTGGTGAACAAATTAAAGTTTGAATTCGACCTATAAGGAGCTTGTAATAAAACACAAACATGCCATCTTGAGAATTATTTTGGGTGATTGGCATTTGATGGGAATAAATGATAGTTAGGGAAAATTTACCAAATCATAACACCAGAGGATATTGAAAGTTTCACCACTGGCAATATGTCCTTGAATGCAGCTGTAGTGAATCCCTTCCACGTGTCACGGCACCAACCTCCGAAGATGTATACAAATTCTCCAATGACTAGAAACCACGAAGATATGCAGAGCGCCCCCATGGCCCCAGAAATTGCCCAATTCAGTTTGTAGACAAAAAGCCAAGATAAGGGAATGTGGATTACAAATGATATAATGGATAGCCATGCAATAACCATATTCTTTTGTTGTGCTTGTAGATACATTTGGATCGTCATAGAGAAAACGATACTGTAAACAAATGGGATGAACCACAGAGAAATATAGCCAGCAGATTTTGCAATAGATTCTTCCTCGCCTAGTAGTTTAAATATTGGTGTTGCGAATAGAAAAACAGGAAGTAATATTGTTAGTGTGATGAGATCCACAAGCCATGATCTTTGCAAGAAAACCCCCATCATATGGTACTGTTTTGCTCCAAACGCTTGCCCACAGAGAGTTTCAGTTGCACTTGACATTCCTATCTGCAAAAAGAAATACTACAAAAAGTAAAACAACAATAGTGTTTGAATCGAAAACTTTTTAGTCTTGTCTATTCTACCATGTCGAATGTCAAAAAAACTGTATGTTTGTGTCTAATCATCAAGGGAAAGTCTCATGCCGACAGTTTCTTGAGGGGCATAATCGTGTGCACCTGAAAGGTAGTGGAGAGGAGGAGGTGTAAATTGCCCTATAGAGTTCTTTGCTCCCTCAGGTGATTAGAGAAGAAAATGTTCCTTATTATTGATCTCTTGAGCTAGAGACTGAGTGAAGTCTGTCTAGTGATTTCGCCTTTAATTTTCCACTCCATAAACATAATATAGACAGAAATTTTTGTCCATTCACTATTTTGAAATCCTCAAATACCAAAATTTTGTCATTCACTATTATTTTCATATTCAGCACACCTTTCACAGCAAAACCAAACATGTTACTGTGATTTGAAAATCTGCAACGACAAGTGGATATAACTCTTAGATTGAGGGTGAAGTCTCACAGAATCCGGGGCAGATTTACAGTAGGGGAAGTGGGGTCGTCTGCCCCTACACTAAATTTTAAATTCAAGATTTTTCACAATATTTGCAAAGATTTTCAAAAAAATTCCTTAATAGTTTTCAATTTTGTCCCCACAGTTAAAATTTTGTAAAATTTGCTCCGCAACTCTACAATTCTAGCTCCGCCCCTGCATAGAATTGTGTTTATCTATGCTTGTTTTCAATTATCATTCTGTTTATTATTGCTTTCGTAGGAATGGATTAGATCTTAATCCCTAACGAACCGTATCATCAAAAGTTTATTACAGAAGTGGAAGAATATTTGTGATTCTGTTCTATTGAAAAGCTATTATTAGTAACAGATAAGGAATGCAACAGAAGTATGGAGTTACCAGTATTCCATTTACGAATCGAACGCTTAAGGTTTGAACAAGTGCATAACCAGCAAGATCAGATGAATTTATGTGTCCAACAAATGACTGAGTTACAACTATGATTCCAAATGAAGTCACTCTTGATATAATACTTGGCAAGGCAACCCTCCATATTTTCTTGGATTCTTCAGAAATCCTCCCTTTGAAATTCCCCGCCTGTTCTGATTCTGGACTAATCAACCTCTCTTGCATGGAATTGTCCATGGCTTTGTCACTGTGAATGAGGGTTGAAAAATCAGCATGCTATATGTCTTTTCCAGAAATTATATAAGAGCATGTTTGGCTAAGCTTAAAATAGGCAAAGTAACATTTTATTTTCAAGTATGTTTTCAGTCAAGAAAAGCTGAAAAGAAGCTAGCATTTAAGCTCAACCTAACATCTCTTACTAGATTTTTAAACTCAAATGACTAATTAATTAATACACTATTCTTGATCAATCATCAACTGATCAAGAATTTCTTCAACGTTATCCTATAATTTCCCATTTTTCTTAACTTACAATCTTATAACATTATTCTTCTTGCTTTTTTAGGACTTCAAATTTTTCCCTTTTCTTTTTTAAAGGTGGACTTGATATTTTTTATTTTACTTTTTGGCTTTTGTGGCACGATAAAATAGATAGATGGGAAAGAAATATATAGGACAAAGCGCTGTTTGTACCTTTTGTAAGGAGGAGATTAACATATTAAACCAAAAGGTCGAAAAGAATCCACATTCAAATCAAAAGTAAGAAAATTTAAATCGGGAACTTGACAAGTTTCAAGTATCTACATAGAAATTCAATTATGCTATTTGTATAATGTTGAATGACAACATTGGATAACAATGTTAACAGTTTTTCAACCTATCCGACAACATGACACGTTGCATGTCATCAACAATATTGTCAACTAAGATTGTACGCTAAGCATGGTTCATATACATTCATCTCCAAGTTTGGATGATGCCAATTGCTTGTAAGAAAAGACAACAAGCACATAAAAAAGGCGCACACATAGTTGGACCAAAAAAAAAAAATCATAATAGATTAAGTTTATATTTGGTAGAGATTCTTTAAAATTCATTTAATTTCAAATTCATTTTTAAGCATATTTGGTAGAGATTCTTTAACTTTTTCTTACTTTTTAATATATATATATATATATATAAACCGCTATTCACTGAATCTTTTCTCAAAAATATATATATCAAAGAGGCTCTAAGTATACATACGAAAAAGGTATGGATGTTTGGTGGGATGAGCCGCTGATCAACTTGTCTCGTCCCACAAAAGAGCCGAGCAGCAAAATCCCATGCAAGCTACTCATCAATTCACAAGTCGGCTCGAAATTGTTGGACGAAAAATGTACTTAAAATATTGTCGAATGGCTCATGAGCTGAGATGGGATTCTTGAAAACCAGCTAGCTCACGCTTGGCTCGTTCCACATGCGAGCACAAATTGATGGTCCAACCAAGCCCGACAGTGAACCATCGTTCGAGCGGTTGAGTGCAATCCATTTGAGACTAAAGAGAGAGACTTCAATTAATAAATAAGTACATATAGAAATACATTTATAGCATATTCGGCTAAGCATGTAAAAGATAAATTTTATATCAACAAAAATGAATATAAGTAAATTTGAGGTAGACAACTCTTAATAAAACTGGTAAGCACGGCTTATTGATTGTTCCAAGAAGCTAGTCTTAACCCCTTTTTGGTAGAAATTAAAATTAAGATTTTAATTTAATTCAAAATTAACAACTAATTTTAATCACATATGTCATGAACTCACAATTTTCAATCATATATTCATCAATATTTATCAAAATTTACTTGAAATCTGATTTTAATTCACGTAAATAAGGTTAACATGCTATTAGTTTGTGTGTGTGTGTGTGTGAGAGAGAGAGATTTGTACATTGTTTTGTCTTCTTCTTCTTCTTTTTTTATGACCGGCGGTTTCAGCCTTGTAGCAGCTTCCTGGAGCAGCCAGGCTGGGAAAGAGGTAAGTGGGGGCGGAGGAAAGATGAGAGAATTAACTGTGTATGTGTGGAATATATATTTACTACCTTAATATTACTATTACCTCTTAAGAGAGAAGCTTTAATATTACTATTTATTTATGTCATATTGCTTTTCACACTACATCCAACTTATCCGATTTTGCTACAATGATTTATTCATGTAAGAAAATGGAACACGCTTTCTTCTCTAGACTACATACTCTACTTCTTCTACTGCTTTTCTACTGTCTCCACATTTGCCCTTGTACAATTGTTGTGGGCCCGCATTCATTTCTCAATGTCAATGAGTAGGAAAATTATTTGTTACAAATTCGACTTTTATGACATGGTGCTGATAAATGTTATGAATTCACACTTTATCCTCAATATCAAAATTGATTGAAAATAATGTGAAGCATTAAGTTAAGGGTATTTTTGACAAAATGATTATTAAAGTTAGGGTGTCATGTTCTTTTCAATTTTCATATAATAAATGCAGCACTTCTGAAAAATAATAAATGCTATTTAATGAATTGTCGTGCTGAAGTATTTGTTTGGCACTCAATGCTCTCATTTAATATCAGGTCTGATAATACACAACTATCCCTGCAGACGCGTTTCTATGAATTTTTTGGGATGCATTGTGGTTTATGTTTACTGAAATAGTGAGATATTTTGATTGAAATTCTTCGAAGTGATCATCGATATTATTTAAACATTTTTTTTTTGCATGTATTTAATGTTAGCAGTCCTTGTAGTAAACTTGTGGATACAAACTATGTATTGGACCATGTACTACAAGATGGGCGGTAAATTAATTTTTTCTTAATTTGTTTATTAAAGCTTTTCACAGTACTGGTACTGTAAATAATTTGGGTTTGATACTTCCAAGTTCTCTGTTATTTCATCATTTTCTTGTCCTTATTAATATCGAATTTGTGCCTTGAACAATAAATAGATCAATAAGGCGAAATGTTTCCAAAAACGCAACTTCTCTTTAACTACGAGACAGAATCTCTCTCCTTCCCTTCAAATTTTCCCCAGAATTGGGACAATTGAGGAGGTTCGGATTCAATTTCATGAGAGATTCAGTTTTGAGAAATATAATACCTATGCTGAGGCAACTACAGTCATTTCAATGCAAAGTACATATTAAGGTTAGTCTTCGGTGCACCTCAAACAATCTGCTTGGCATTTCATTGTAGCATGTTCACTATGTTTAAATAAAATCACATGTTTTTTTCATGTTAATCTTAATTGAATATTATACTAATACAATTTCACTAATCATTATGCCAATTTCTATAAGATTTATGTGAAAATTTAATAAACTTTTAGAATAATTTAACTTCCCATTAATATTCGATGCTAACATTACCTAGAAAATACCACAGTCCATACATTGCACGGGCATTAAACTAGTATATATATAAAGCATTAAACTAGTATATATATAAAGCGTTATGGGAATAAAAAATAATTATGAGAAAAACTTGAATAGTGAAGGAACATTATTCGCGTAGACTATTCCTTCAGTTGCAGAAAGGAATAAAAATGGAACCTTGCTACAAAGGGGCTGGTTCACAAAATTCATTTAGGGGTACTTGCTAATTTTTGGTTGAAAAAAAATAATAACTAAAAATGAATCACAGATATTGTCACATCACACCTAAAAATATGTGAAGAAAACCTCTATACACTTAGCATTTTTCATAAAAAAAAAAAAAAATGAGGTAACAAATCAATCAGGAACAGATTCAGGATTGAATCCAAAATCGGGTTATAAAATTTCAAACTGGACTACTACGCGGAAAAAAAATTACACATAAAAAACTGATTTTTTACCCTAAAAAAATAAAAAATATTGGGCCTGAGTGGGGGGACTAAGCCAGCCCAGCCCAGCCCCCTAAATCCGTCTCTGAAATCAACCGTGCAAAGAATAAAGCTATTTGTACAAATGAAAATGATAGAAAACATTACAAATGATGAGATGGCAATAGTGTATTCACTAGTTTAAATTCGTTTTGTGTCCAACATTAAAATTCCTTAACATTTCTCGGGTGCAAACCACAAGGTTACAACTTAATGGTCAACAATTAAATGATGAATCCAATAATTTTGGTATTAATGGTTTTAATGATATCAAATTAATTTCCAACAGCCGAGTTTAAATGTTTAAGTCCATGTTTTTATTAAAATTAATTTTTTTGTAAATTTATTTTCACTAAAACAGTATTCACAACTTTATTAATTTTTCAACCATACTTTTCATCAATTTTTATTAAAAATTACGAAGGATTTAAGCCCTTGTTTGAGCTACATTATTTTCGTAAAAATGCATTTTTGAATAGTGTATTAATGGAAATTTTGTGGTTAAAAAATAAGAAAAAAATTTGAATTTGCATATAATATTATTTTATTGAAAAATGTGTGATTGAAAGATATCAAATTACTGTTGAAAAATATATTTTTTTAATAAAAGAATATGGGTCAAACAGAACCTAAATTTTATTCAAATCAAACAGGGCTCTGAATATGTTGAAACGGATTCACTGAGTATATTTGTATTTTTAGTAAATAATTATTTCGTTTCCAATTGTAGACGTGAAAATCAAAATGCAAGCCATCTAAACTGGAAGTCCAAATTATATTTGAACCTAACCCCCAAATTTATTTTGTTACAACAACAATTGATTTGTTTGTTTGGTAGGAAAAAACAAGGGGATTGCCACATTTGTAGACTGCTAAGGCATCAATTGTGGGAATGCCCAAGAAAGTAATGATGTTCACGCTGTGGTGATATCTATGTGAAATGGATGGAGGTTGAAAAGAAGATTGCAAACATAGGTCGATTATTATTTTGTTGTAGTAGCGATTACGGGTATTTCAAGTGGAGTGTCGTTTTGCTTGAAAAAACCCTTACAAGATGAAGGTCACACCAACGGAGTTAAGCAGAACATGAATTAAGATGCAGTTGGTTGAGAAAATCAAATCCGAGATATCCAATTGAATATCTGTCGCGTACATTCTTGTTGCTCAAATTGCCGAAGAAGAAGATATGGAGATATCCCTTAATATAACCATCCGCAAGGAAAAAAGAGATATAGAGGAGAATGGAAAACAAAGTGAAAAAGATTCGTGAATGTGTTCCTATGTACTTGATAAGTAGAATTAACTTTTAATTTCATGCTTATGTAATGAGAACTAGACTTCAATTTGAATTGTTCTTACCAATATTGTTGATGTTAACGTTTTAAATTTTTTGATTAAAAATGATTTGGCATTTGTCTATGTTGCACACCATTTTTTTGTTGATGTAATTTGTTTGATTGACTGTATAGGATGTGAGTATGAGACTTCATCGGTGCCTTTGGAATTTGGATGTAATTCAAATGATGAAGTTAAGAGTGTACTCTTGAAGCAAGGTAAGACAAATAATTCTATGCTGATTGTTGATGTAGAATAATCTATAAAAATCTTCTTAATAAATGCTCACCCTGGAACAACAGTAAATAAGCTCCTTATCAGCTCAGTCTATTGGGAGTTTGAGAGCTTGAACTGCTCAATGTATCGATGGACTATGAAAATCTCATAGTAGTTGCAATGACGATTGTACTAATCTCGATTTCATGTGTATTAAGGTGTATATGACTTCACTTGCACCATCTGAATTATTCATCTTGGAAGCCTGTATTCTCTATTTGCACTATACTTTCCAAATACCTTGAACTCTTCTTTCTTCATTTGCCTTACACTTGACATTATATATGTTTAGTGCACCATAATTTCAAATTGCCTTCCTAAATTCTTGTACAGAATTGAACAACTGCCCCACCTAAAATAGTAGATCTAGCATATTCATTTCAGTCATAAAATCTGAAATTCAATACCCAACCTCATCGTTAGATGATGTAGAAGATAAAAATTCTTTAGATGATGGACATTCCAAATCATAAATCTTGTCGAGAATTGGGTCAAATAATAAAAATGAGAAAATAAGAGTAATATGAAAAATGTAGATCACACAATAACACAAGATTTATCTGAAAAGGGAGAATTTCAATATATCAAGAAACTAAAATTGTTTTACAAGATTTAATATACTCAATCTAAATCTAAACAATCATCTCAAGTTTCTATTGTATATAACAACGTTCTTATTATTAGTTGAGCCTATAAAGAGCCTACACCAAGCAGAGTATGTATAGTAGCCCAATTTTGGTGTGTTGAATGAAATAGAATACAAGAATTGTGGTCCAAATCCGATTCCTCCTGAACAGCGATGCCCTCGCACCAGCCTGTTGTTCCAGACATTTCCAGATGCATTTTTATCTATTCCAAAGTCCTTTTCCTAATCAAATTCCCAATCCTTGATGAAACTTGATTCATTATTAATTTGGAGATACTGGACTTTCAAACAAAAATTATCTAGGCTTCCTCTATGAATCAAACTTTCAAATCGCATTGAATTTGAACCACAACTCAACAAACTCTACCTTGACACAAATTCTATAGCAAGGAACTATGTCTTCATTCTTCAAAA